TATATTGAATATTTCGAAAAAAATTTTTATCAATTTTTAAGTTTTTTATTTTCAGTATTAAAAAATAAAAAAWGTATTCTAAAMATGTAGCKCAAGTGTCTATGAATTATATTTAAAAGAATTTTTTTTTAAATATTGATTACAACAAAAGTTATTTCATTTGTCAAATTTCTGTGGGACACCCTGTATAAATRWATATTATATTATATTATATTATTATATTATCTGTAATCTGTATCTTATACAAGACTTATTTACCACTATGTCACTATACCAGACGTATATACTATATATATAGTATTAGGTTTATGAAATTACGCATAATACACACAAACACATAATATTTTATATTTATAAAAAACATGCAAACTATAGTTAACTAAAATTTTCATCAAAAGTGTATTCTATCATATTCTAAACAAGATAAAATTATAAACATTTTAACTAATTGGAGTTATTTATTARCATTTTAAACTATTTTGTAGTTGAAACAATTATCAAATGTTTAATTTTTATTGCTAAGTATTTAAAATTTAAAATAAGGTTTCTAATAAATTCTTCATGCTGTAACTCAAAAATCTAATATAAAATATATAGTTGAGGATTAAGGAAAGATTGAGAGGGACATTGATGGATTTAAGAGAATTAAACAAAATAACGCATTTCGTGTGCAGAGAAGGCGAGGGAGATCACCAACACTTTCATTGGACTGTAGTGTACAGAGTGGAAAATTACTTATTAAAACCAAGAACCTAACAATTTCAGCTATTTATCGTAATTTAAAAATATTCATGGGTACTTGAAATTTTGAGAATACATTGTTATACTGTATGCAGTTAACACATGACATTATACAATGCAATTATTTTGGGAAAAATTAATTTAACCAACTACAGTCCGTTACTACTAATAATAATTTGTATAAATATTAAAAATAAATTACTTCAATCAAAATTATATCTTAAAATGTACTTCGCTAAGAATCGATTTTCGTATCCGTTCTTTAATATTTATGCTGCTAGCGCTCTCAGTGTATATAATTATGAACCGTGTACAAAARTCTCTGTAAGAATAGTCCCTATAAAAAAGGTCCTACATTGGAAAAAGTTAATTTAAATTATCAGAATTATCTATATAAAATCCAGAAGTTGGATGGAAATCATTCAAAGGAACTGGTTCCAATGATTTCATTTGTTCCTTTTTTGTTCATATAGATCAATAGATTTAAAATTATTTTTATGGTAAAATTTTTTCAAATTTTGTTTTAGAAAATTACYTAGTCAATATCATAATGAGCTATATYATTCGATAATATTGACAATRTTTAAAATATTTTGAGTCAGCCACGGCGCGCGGCGGACTTATCGACCAATTTGTAAGAAATAAACAAATTAAACATTTTAAAAACAAAACAACTACCTGATTAAATAATTATCGCTACAAATTATATTAATGCAATATTAAAATAATTGAGAAACGAAAAATGTTCTTTACTCAGGTCTTGGAAACGAGGAAAGGAACTATAGCTTCCTTTTTAACAAAATGGAGGTGAACTTGAACTAATTCCTAGGAACTTTCCGAGCACTGAATATTTTAATCATATCCTTTCTTATGTTAATATTATGTTATGACTTATTAATCCATTTTTTCGATTACCTACCTATAACTTTATATTATATCCAAATAAAATAACTATATATATTATATATCGATTATGAAAATATAGCAATACACATACACTTACGGTCTACATTATTTTTAACTACATTAATTTCCGCTAAGGCGCTAGTTGCGCTCSTCACAAATCACAGGCCGTAATCAAGATAAACATTGGACATCAAAAATAATGCTTCATTGATTAACCTGTATACCTAATATAGCTGATGTTATATCTTATATCGTATATTCTTACTATCGTGAATCGTGATGTCGATAGCAGATTGAAGACGTTTTCGACGATTCGACGATTCGACTATTTCGAGTATTTCGACTATTCTGTAGTCACTAGTCACTAGTCAGTACTTAAGTGTTCAGTAGTTACAGACTCACAGCTTACAGGACGCACAGTACAGTAGGATACCTTCTACCTAGCAATAAGTTTGATTATTGTTCATATTTAAGCGGGTATATTTGTTATGTTCTATTTTTTATTCAATATTTATAGTCAATAAATACTGGATAATAAGAATTGGAAATTTCATTCTTGCTTAGGTCTTGCATTGAATTATTAATTTAAAATGGCTAGTGAAGAATACACTGGTAAACCATACAAAATAATTGATTCAAAACGTGAACACAAAATTGGTATTGTAGCAACTTCATTGTCTGATTTTATGACTAAAGGTAAAAATATTTTTAAAATGTTTTGAATGTGTGCATTTTATGTTTTTATTAAACCTAAAAAATTAAAGTATATTGAACAATATGATTTAGCTATATAATATCATACTTATACCTTTGTTTAGCTCAACAAAAACTTAATATAAATGAAAATGAACCCATTAAAGTTGTTCTTGAATCTGATGGCACTGAAATTGATGAAGAAGACTATTTTGAMACATTGGAAACGAACACATTAATTATGATTTTAAAATCTGACCAAAAATGGGCCCCATATGATATAAGGTATACCAAATTATTAATATTTTTATTTTATTTCAATGTATAAGTGGTGGAATATGAATTCAATATAATATGTT